TTGCAATTGGCAGATATTTGGGGGTATATTGCTGTGCTCGTGTCAGCAATTGTTGTAGTGTGACCGCTGTGCCCTCGTACCGGCTACAAGTGTAGCAGTCGCCGCTTAAGCAAAGTCTCGACTTGTCATTTGTTCTCGGGCCTTCCATAGCACACGTCGGAACTACTACATTTTAGCAAAATACTGCGTTGGATGCAAGAGGTATACCTCTTCCACCGCTTTCCTCCCTGCCTCCTTGTCTATCTGGACAATCTCGTCGTATAATCGCCGAATTTTGGTCTGTCGCTCAGTATTCTCCCTTTGCAGCACGTCTGTCTGTTGGTCAAACCAGCCTTCTCCCAGGACTATGCTCGTTAGCATCTTTCGCTTGTTGGAATGGTGCTAGGGCTTGGGACACACCACTGGCAACAATTGAGCGGGCGTGAGCTGGGCTGCGCTCCCAAACTCTCTTAAGGTCATTGAGGGCCTACGCTCCGTTAGGTACTGTCTGCCACGGAGAGGCATCGCTGCTGGAGAGAACGCACCTTGTTGGAGTGCCTTGTAGCATGAAGGGAAGTCATATTGTTCCAAGTAGACAATGCTCGTAGCACTCTAGAAGCTTTTCAATGCGCAGAATCTGCTTTGGTGTAAGACGTTCGTTTGACCGCCGGACGGGCAGCTGTTTGTTTGGTTGCGCACGAGTGGTCTCTCTGAGCTACAATAGGATTAGTGCAAAATTTGCGAGAAATCGCCCGTGCACTAGCATCGTGTATATCACGCAAAAGCAGCCCTCTTCAGCCTGTGCAGCAACGCTATAACGTTACATTGTTATAACTCTACTGTAGGAGTTATAATAGAGTACGAATATTCTCTCTATGTTATTTCTACAGTAAAATAGGTAGCTGTTGTGCTGTTATTCCTTACTGCGTAGGTGAAAATCAACAAATGTAGAAACATGTGTACAACAAGGGGCGAAAAAAACAGTACCATTTGCGCAGATTATGTTTTGTAGCATGTATACATGTCCCCTACATGATCTGCCTCAGAAGTATATATAAAAATAAATATAGGGAACATCACTGCGTTGTTGCGGTCATTTCGGTGGAAAGCAATAAGTTTTGGTGAGGATTTTGCTCGTCACGTGGTTATATTCGTTAGCCAGTGACATACACTACCTACCTAGGCACCTAGGTAAACAACCTTTACACCTGGAGGATTATAATGTCATACGCGTTTATTCTACAAATCGCTAGCGGTCCGCCTATAGAAGATGACTCGTACAAGGCAATCCTGTGGTAGGCCCGTAGTCCAGCCTGAAACAGTCCGAGGTGTAGGTCCCCTTATGCTATCGTATTCCACTACCGTTGTATTGCCTAGCTCTGCTTCCGTGCGCCATCGACTGAAAAAATGGCCTATGCCTTGCACTTTCTTGCGGAAAATGACACCATAGCATTGGTACCGTAGCTTCTTCTGCTTGCTCTTATGCCAGCAACTGAATTGTAGGGTTTCAAAGGGCTTGGCGGCTGCGTGCTGACTAGCATGACAGTGACTCGCAACGGCCACTATGAACCATGCGGGAGGTCTGTCTATGATGACTTGGACTTCTTTCATATTGTTTCTGCACGCTACCTTGCCGCATGAACGTCCATCGCTACCATGGTTCCGTAGCGCGGCTTGGAAGTGCTTGCTTACAGCCTTTTGGATGGTTTGAGTTCTCGTTAGGATGAGAGTCAGTACTGTGTAGCGACGGCTTACAGATGTCAGAGTGAAACAAGGCTTGCCGCTACAGCAAATCCATGCTTTCAACGTCGTATAGCTGAAAGAGGGCAGACCCTGGAACGATAGAGGGAGCAAGTCGAGCACGTCAGTCTGACCGTCCTCTCTGGCGAGCGGGCCGAGGTCTTTCTGCAGAAATTGGGCGTATGTGTCCCGAAGAGCATTCCGCTGCTCTTGT